TAGTAAACTCGACACTGCCGCCGCCGCCGCCGACCTTGCCTCGCCAAGCACGCCCGCCGCCGCCGACACCGCCGACGCGCCCGCCGCCGCCGCCGCCCCTGCTGCACGTGCCTCAGTCGACGACTACTACACCACCAACCGCGAATTCTTCGGTTCCATCGGCCTCGACGACATACGCCTCCACCACGTCCACTCCCTCGCCGTGCCTCTCCCTCCGTCACTACGGCATCTCCTAGACGCCACTCTCACCTCCTTCGCTCGCCATATCTTGCTTGACCTCGACGGCGACGCCCCCGTCTTTGCATTGTATGCGCACCCACGACTGCTGCTCTTCCCACCCGCCTCCGACCTCCGGCGCGCACAGCTCCTCGCCACCCTCGCCGCTCGCTTTGAGACTCTACGGACAGGAGGGGCAAGCCGCCTGTGGACGGCCTTCGACTGGCTCGCCGCCCAGCCCAATCCCGTCGACTTGGCGCCCTCGGGTGGCCTCATCCCTGACTCCGTCCTACGCCGTACCGCCGCCCGCTCGCCAATGGCAGCCTTCAACTCCATGACGAGCCTTCCGTTCATGCCGCCGACGCAGCGCACTCTAGGCCTCCTCCTCGACCTCGTACCGACGGCGCACAACCCGGACCTTGAAATGCTCCGCCGTTCCTTCGCCGCTGTGGTCTGCCGTGTGCCACCGTTCCTTACCGTGCCGCTCCTTCCTCCGTGCCACCGAGGCTTCGACCACCGAGGCTTCGGCCACCGAGGCTTCTGCCACCGAGGCTTCGGCCACCGAGGCTTCGGCCAACGAGGCTTCGGCCAACGATATTATTGCTGCCGCCCCCCCTGCCGTCCGTTACCGCCGTGCCGCCGTACCGCCGCTCCTACAGTGCCGCGCCCGCCGCGCCGTATGTCCCGCCGTCCGATGTCCTGCCTGCCGCCTGCTGCCGCCGCGCCGCCTTACCGCCGACCCTTATCGTGCCGCGCCGCCTTTACACACACACCTTACTTTCTGCTCGACCGAGTTTGCGCTGATGAGCGAACCGAGCCGCCGGGTGCCCCGCAGCGGCCTCGCTGGGCCAGAACATCGGCCCCGAGTGCTCCGCAGCAGCCTTGCTGGGCCAGAACGTCGGCCCGCGAGGTGGGGTGCTAGTCTGGGACCCATACGTGGCAGTTCCCTTGCTCCAAGCGCTTGCGCTTCGGCGGTAGTGATCTGATCACCCGAATACCACGTTCGGATCGCTCCTCATCGCAAACCCTGTCAGCAGTTCACCTACGGGTATGTTCGTAAGAGCTACATACACTGAAAATCCGAATACCGTGCACGAATCCGGCGATGTCGGACCCAAGCCTTCAGCTGGTGCCACATCCGTAAAATTGAAGCCACGAACGGCCGCCGAATCCGTGCTTTCGGACGGAGCAACTGAGGGAAGCCGCTGATCGAGCCCAGCGTGCCCGCGGCCGCCTCCCGCGCAGCACCGCCGCTGGGGACGACACGCTGCGGATTCGGATCGAGCCCGGGGGGCGCGGCGGGCCGCTCGATGGTCGTCCGCTTCGTCTGCGACAAGTCCATCCCAAAGGCGCGTGTCCTGCGATAGATAGACTCGACGGGCTCACCGGCGCGGGGTGGACGCAGGACAGATGCTGGCGGCACACATGGCGACACAGGGACACACGGACAAGACACCCCCTCGCCTCTCCCTGCAGCCTGCCGACCGCCGCCGCTCTTTTCTCCTCCGCCGCCCGCCTCGCCTACCGCCTCTCCCTCCCTGCCGCCTCCCACCCTCCCCCTCGCCTTCTGGCCTCTCCCCGCCCCGCCACCTCTCCACTCGCCACTCCCCTCCCTTCGCCATCACCGCTACCCTCACCGCAGCCTCCCTCACCGCCACCGCCCCTCACCGCAGCCTCCCTCACCGCCACCGCCCCTCACCGCAGCCTCCCTCACCGCCACCGCCCCTCACCGCAGCCTCCCTCACCGCCACCGCCCCCTCCCTACCTCCAAAGGCGGTCCTCACCGAAGCCACCGGCGGCAGCCTCAAGTACAACCTCACGGTCCGCGCCGCCGCCGCCTGCCCGGTCGGTCGCTGCACAGCCAGCGCTGGGACTCGTCACACCTTTGCCACCCTCCTTGCGGAGCAGGAGGAGATCCGCTTGCTGTACTTTGAACAGCGTGCCAAGACCTACATTGAGGAGGTGCTCGTACCGGCGCTCGGCATCAGTGTGTTTTACTACGTGATGGAGTTTGCTTGGGCCCGTCGCTTCCGGGACCAGGGAGCGGCGGGGAGGGGGCAGATTCACTTCCATCTGCTCGGCTGGCTCGAGAGCGGCGAGCCACACCATATCATCTCGGTCGGCAACTCGAGGGACTCAGTAGTTGTGACCCCCCTGGAGTGAGTGAGGACAGGAGAGAGAGAGCTTTGTGGTGTTGGTGTACGCAATAACGGGACAGGGTAGTCGTTCTCTCTAGCTCCCCTTCTAGCTCTTAGCATGAGCTGCGCCCTGTGTCCGACCCCTTTTGCGCAGCAACACCTTAAACTTTTCAGGCCCTCCAAATTCGGGTCGGAGCGTAGCGGAGTGGGCCCCGAGTTTGAAAAGGGCGACGGACGCTTGCGTCCTAGCCTCCAACAACGCCTCCCCGGCGCAGAGGGGCCCCCGGAGGGATGCACAACCGACCCGCGCCACGCCGCTTGCGGCGGTCCTCTTCCCAGCTCCGCTGAGGGCCCGTGCATTTTTATTTTGGGGAGCTGCCGCGAACGTGAGATGCTCGCTCGCCTCGGTCGGCTGCGAGCTGGGCTGGGCGCCGCCGCCGCGGTCGGCGCCTCCGCCGCGGCGCTGAGCGCCCGGCAGCAGCAGCAGCTCTGCGCCTGTGCGAGCGCGCCGGCGCCGCCGTCGCCGGCGGAGCCCGCCGCTCCGGACGCTCCTCCTCCTCCGAGCGAGCCCGGCATCGTGGACAAGGTGCTCGCACCGGCGCGGGAGGCGTACGAGGCGGCGAGCGACGCGGTCTACGACACCTTCATCAAGCCGTACGCCGAGCCCTCGCGCGACAAGCTCCTGCCCGACCTGCCGCCGGCGCTGGCCGCCAAGCCAACCCTCGTCGTCGCGCTGGACGGGCTGCTGATCGAGTCGGTGTACACGCGGCAGCACGGGTGGCGGTACGTGAAGCGGCCAGGGCTCGACGCCTTCCTCGACCAGCTCTTCCCCTTCTACGAGATCGTCCTCTGGACTGAGTGCCTCGTCAACGCCGATCCAGTTGTCGACAAGTTTGACCCGCGGCGGCGGATCCGGCACCGGCTCTACCGCGACACGACGACGTACCGGAACGGGCACCACTACAAGGACCTCGAGGTTCTCAACCGCGACCTGCGCAAGGTGCTCATCCTCGACACAGACGACGAGTCCTACGCCATGCAGCCGTCTCACGGCATCACGGTGCTCGCAGACACGTCGCGACACGTCGCAGACACGTCGCAGACACGTCCCGCCCTCGCTACCGCCTCCCTCTCAACCACCAGCCTCGCCGCCGCCGACCTTCCCGCCGCCTCCCTCCCCCGCCGCCCTCGCCGCCACCGCCGCCACCGCCACGAAAGAGAACCGCGACGGCCGACAGCCGAAGGGGGGGGGGTGGGGGGAGGGCTCTTTGCGTACAGACTTGCTGCTAGACACGCCGCCGCGGGATAGGGAGCGGGCCCCGCCCTGTCCCACAGGTGCCGGAGTACAAGCACGCCAACGACCCCGAGAAGAAGGACGACGCGCTGACGAAGCTCGTCCCCTTTCTGCAGTACTGCGCGCTCGCCGGCCTGCCCGACCTGTCCGCCGAGCTGGCGCAGTACGCGGGGAAGGACCTGGCCACCGCCTTCGAGGGCGGCCCGGAGCCGCCGTGCGCCCCTCGCAGTGACACACGCCAACGCCTCGCGTGTTGTGAGCGTAGGGAAGCTGGCGGAGCTTCGCGCCTCTGGCAAGCTGCGATTGCCGCGGCGCGTCGGCGGCGTCGAGGCGGGCCAGCGCGGGAACACGATCTGGGATCGGATGCGGCAGCGGAGGGAGCAATAGCGTTGGAGGGGGGGGGCAGGCGGGCGGGGAGGGGCGGGGGCGGGCGGGGGGCGGGGGCTTGCCAGCAGGGTTTCGAGGCGCGAGCACGGTCTGGTATTATGTGAGATAATTATATGGACATCGCCATCGGTGTGCCATGCTGCTGGGGCGCCGGCATGATTTACAACTACTCCATGTGCTGAGAAGTTATGACGCATTATTGCATTTCTCCCGGAAGCCCACACCGTGGTGCGTGGACCCACACTGCACACCCTCTGCAGCGTGCAGGCTGTGGCCCACCGCGCGCGCGTTGGTCACGTGTGGCACCCGGTCACGCGTCAGCGGTCAGGCGGCAGGCTCGCGGCTCGGGCGTCCCGGGGGCGCGCCTCCGGCTCGAGCGAGCACCACACTCAGTCTGGTCTCAGACGGTGTCTCAGAGCAACACACAATTGCCCAATCGCGTCCCACAGTCAGTGACTCCGCTCTCCGGTGCTCTCAGGACTAATCCAGTCTCGCTGTCCTCGTGAATGTGAATTCCGGAGAGGCGAGACGCTTGGTCTGGGATCGACTGGGGCGTACCTCGACTACCGCCGTACTCGAGTAAGATCACGCCGCTTCTCAAAAAAACGCAGCAGCCTCGCTAGGCCAGAACATCGGCCAGCGAGGTGGGGTGCTAGTCTGGGACCCATACGTGGCAGTTCCCTTGCTCCAAGCGCTTGCGCTTCGGCGGGAGTGATCCGATCACCCGAATACCACGTTCGGATCGCTCCTCATCGCAAACCCTGTCAGCAGTTCACCCTCGGGTATGTTCGTAAGAGCCACATACACTGAAAAAAAAGCATCTCGCGGCAAAGCCTTCGGGGGCGTCGTTTCAGACTCCACCATATTGGCCGGCGGCGGCCTCGACGCCGACGCGGGGAGCCAACTAGCGCTGGCAGGGCCGATCCATGGATCGCTGCTTGGCTGGTTGCTGCCATAGGACGTACCCGGCCCCTGATCGGGCGGCAAAGCCCCCTCTGCGTATTGTGCGATGCATCGTCGCATGGCCTTGCCTCACGATCGCCGCCTCACTGGTTCTCACTATTGTCATGTCTATGGTGGGTTGGATGTCTGTGATCAACTACGCCACTCTGCCCGGCAAGGATGGCAACCCGTTCAAGACTGTGGACTACCCGGTCGCGGACCCCATCGCCAAACAGTTGAATGCCTTCACGCAGGCCCAGGCCCACTCCAACACTGTGCTGCAGCAGCAGCAACTGGGGAGGAGACGCATGCACGAAGCCGACAACATCCACTCGGCCAGATCACCGGCCCTGGCACACCTTGCACCTGTCTGGCAGCTCGCGACAGCAGAGCCTTTTGCTCTGCCAAGAAGACTCGGTCTGGTCATCGACGGGCTCGGTCTGGTCTCTCACTCCTCCCAGGAAGAGAAAATGCGGAGATGCTAGCTCGCAGGTAGATGTGCTCAGCCAAGGGCAGGGGATGAGGGGAATGTGTCAGTGTGAGGGGTGCACCAACCGCAGAGCGTTGTGTTTTGCCTTTAAGACTTGAACAGTTTTTTTCATGTCTCTATAGCCGCTCTCGCTCTCTCTCTCTCTCTCTCGCTCTCTACTCTCTCTCTCTCTCTCTCTCTCTCTCTCTCTCTCTCTCTCTCTCTCTCTCTCTCTCTCTCTCTCTCTCTCTCTCTCTCTCTCTCTCTCTGTGTGTGTGTGTGTGTGTGTGTGTGTGTGTATCTCGGAGGAGCCTCGCTTTTCTTTCTTGATCTGTGAGAGAGGCTTGTATTAAGAATTCTTTCTTGATTGATGTTTGAATTTATGAAGTTATTCAACAAGCGCAAACGGCGCTCAGAGTGTGCCGTGTGTATGCTTAATGCTGCGGGCAGTGGACATTGCGTGATATGCGGATTGCACCGCTCATTCATAAAGAGGACAAGCAATCCAGGCCTGGGAAGGCACGCAGCGGCTGCGAAAAGAGATGCAGCGCATGAGGAGGTCAGGGTTCAGCCAGGTTTGTCGCACATAAGAAGTGAGGCAGCTCCCGGCTTCGGCCATATCGCAGTTGCGTGGCCGCGGTCCATCGTTAAGGAACGTGCCCTGCTCGACAACCTCGCAGAGGCGGGGAGGTGGCGATAGTGACGGTGGCGGCGGCGGAGCTGGCGGCGGGGCCGCCGAAGCCCGTGTGGACCATTCGCCTCCTCCGCATGCACAGCACGCTTGACGCGAGTCGACCCCCCCCACTGCCCAGTCTGCGAATGTGCCCCACGAGGTACTCCAGAGCCGTCCGTAGAATCCATTCTTTGTGCACAAGGCGTATCGAGCGTAGCTGCCGCAGTCGAAGCCGGAGCTGCTCGTCCAGCCGGGCGGAGAGTCGGAGCAGCGAGGCGACATCTCGCTCGCGGCAATCTGGCGAGGACTCGGCGGCGCCGTCGATGGAGGCGGGGGCGGCGATGGGGTCGGGGGCGGCGATGGAGGCGGGGGCGACGGCCATGGGGGCGGCGGCGACGGCGGGGGCGGGGACGACGGTGGGGGCGGCGGCAACGGTGATGCCGGTGGTGGCGGCGACGGTGGGGGCGGGGGCGACGGTGGGGGCGGCACGCACATGACGTAGTGACTAGTCTGAGCGCTCCCGACCATCCAATCGAGGAGCGCCGATCGGTCCTTAGTCACGCATGGCGCGCAAAAGTTTGATGCGGCGCCAGTGGTATAGCTGAAGGCGGCGCAGTCTTCCATGCTCTCGCATTGGACCATGCAGTCGCGCAACGAGCCGGGGAAAGTTATCGACTTTTCAGCCGTCCACCCCTTCGAAAGAGACGGCGATGGGCAGAACTTGCCGGGTTCTATGCCGCACAGGGCGTCGAAGCCAGCGAGGTGAGAGTTGTGCCAGAGGGCGCAATCGTCTTGCGACTCGAAGGCAGGCGTGGTGAAGACAGGGTCGGAACCAATCCAACGATCTCCCTCGACCCACTCAAACACAAACTCGCAGTGGCTCCACCCAGCACTGCGATACGCGTCGTTGCACTCATCCCTTGCGCGCGGGTCGTACGCATGACGTATGCCGTCCCAAATCAAATCCACGGCCATGCCCGGTGACCAGCCTGCATCGTTGCCCGTCCAGAGCACTTTGTGACAATCGCCGTGATACATGTGCGTAGCCTCGCCACACGCCGCCTTGCTTGGAAACCAGCCGACCCACCAGTGCACCGTCCCGCCGAGCTGCTCGCCCACCGCCTGCCTGCAGAGAACCATGGCGCAGGGATTGCAAGTTTCTCGCGCGCTTTTTTCTGAGTATCTGATTACTTTTTTTTAGTGTATGTAGCTCTTCGTTTTTGGGTGCCGTACGCTCACGCTCGGGTGTCGGGATGGATGTGCGGCAGCATATCACCTCCGGTTTTCCGCCCCGGTTTTCCCTCACAAGGCTATGAAGCGCTTGCCCACGCTCGTGCACGACTGCGCGCCGTGCGCCTCGCACAGTGCCTCGAACCATGGGATGGTGGGGTACCTGCGCGGCGCGGGACGGGCAGATGCGCGTCGGCAGGCGGCGCGGGTCGCCTCCGAGCGCATATCAAATCATGGATGGATAGTGTTTGGTCACAAGTTTTGTGCGTCGTGTGTGGGATCTCTTCTGGCTTGGCTGGGGCGAGCGCACAAGGCGTAGTCATCGAGCAGCTCCTCGCCGGCCTCGATGTCCCTCAGCGCGTACGACGACACGCCATCCCCACGCCCCTCGCCATCGCCGTCGGGGTGGTTGCCTGTTCTCAGGCGCGGGCACGTGAGGAGAGCCGGCGGCAGCACTCCTCGCCCGATCTACCGCCGCTGCCCGTGTTTTGCCGCGTGCGCGAGTGGTTCCAGTACTTGCCGTCGCCAACCACCTCGAGCACCTGCGCGTGCGCGCAAACACGTCACTCAAGCTCTTGTCGGCGGCTGCCTAGCCAAATGACCGTGCGCAAAGGCGAGCACAGCACAAGAGAGGGCATGTGCGCGCCGCGCGCCTCGCCCTCCCAGCAGTAGACGTGCTCGAGCAACTCGATCGCCTCGGTTGACGACAGGCTCGCCAGCCTCTCCCGCAGCGTCGCCTCGGTGTGCACGACCTGGCTCCGTGAGTCGGCACGCCAGAGGAGCGTGCCACGCGCGAGCGGCGTGGTGGCGAAGACGCCGATGCCTGCGATGGCGGACGTGCAGAGCTCGTACGGCACCTCGAACCCCGTCGAGTCGCGCGAGGAGGGAACAGCGGCGCCGCCCTGGCCAGGAGCCGGAGCCGACATTGGGACGTGGCCGTGTGCGAAAAAGAGCGCAAATGGGTTTAACTCGCGCGCGGCTGGGAAAGGGGTGTGGCACCCCTCCGAAGGCGCCTCGCGAGGAGCTGCTGCTGCCTCCAAACGCGCGATTCGAGCAACACGTCGGCGCGCCTGCGGGGTGGGTTGAGAAGCAAAAAAATTACCGAAGCATCTTGGAAAGAGGAATGATGACAAACGAAAGGGAGGACCGCGAGGTGGCTTGAAGGTTGCAGCGAGAGAGGCTGCGAAGAGAGAGAGGAAGATAAAATATGCTTACCTTCAAGCCCCCCTCCGAGACTAGGGACAGAACCCACCCGTACCCAGGAGAGATGGGACTGCGCCTCGCCCCCACTTCGCACTTGCCCTGACTGCACAGGATTGCGTGCCCGAAGACGGCGACACATAGCGGGGGACACTGCGCAAGGAGGGGGTGCGAAGCCGGCAAGGTTGGGGTTCTAGGTGGTGGGACCATGGAGGGGGGGATGGCGGGGTCCCGTGGGGGTGAAATGTTGCGCGGCGAATTCGAACCTACCCCCTCGCCGCGCCGATCCTCACGCGGAGGGTAAAACCCTGTGGGACAAAACGCAAAACCCCTCCGCGGTCGGCTGTCTTCAGAGACAGAGTGGACCCCCCCCTCGCCAGCCTCCCCTCGTCAGGGGCGGGGAACCCGCAATTTGAGATGCTGAGGCATCTGAAATTGCCCGATACGATCTCCATTCTAATTTCGATTGCCTCGAGCATCCCAAGATGCATGAAGCAATTCAGGATGCGCGCGCATCCTGAATTGCTTTAAAATTCTTTTGTGAGAGGCCTCCGCGGATCTGTGCCCAGCTGGGTTCCGGCTCCTAGCCGGATGGGGGTCTGTTCCCACTGGCTGGCCCCTCCCACCCAGATAGGTAGGATTGGTTGGTCTTGTTTCGCCCAAAAGGGCCCTGCAATAGCGGGTACCCCCTATTTTCATCTTTTTTCGCTTCGCTGCGCGGCCTGGGGATAGGTAGGTAGGTAGGGCGATTTGGCGCGAGTCAGGTACAGACCCCCTATCCGGCTAGGAGCCGGAACCCTGTGGCAGAGGGCCCAACTTGAGAATCGTGCTTTGAGTTGGGTTGTTTCGTGTTGGGTTGGGTTGTGGTTGGGTTGGGTTGACAACTGAAGTCTTCTGGGGAGCATTTTTCCTAAAGGGTCATGGGGGTGGAGTTCGCCGTCGAGAGGACGGGACGTGTCCAGCGATCGCCGCCACGATCCCATCACCGATTCGAGGTGGCTTGCTGCCTCTGTGCTCGCGATGCACAGGTTGCTCCTCTACGCTCTCGCTGCCATGAACGGCGGTCCCTTTTCGTCTGACCAAGTGGTGCAAGAGGACTACATTTCCCCTCTTCCCGATGCACTGCGTCGCAGCCTCATGGCCGTCCACGCATCCGGCCGATCAAAGCACAGCGCCGTCCCGTGGCGTCCGGAGATGGATGCCTTCGTGCTGCTGCGCCACGTCCGAGACGGCATCTCGTTGCCAAAGGTGGCAGAGCAGTGGCCGTTTGAATCCGCCACCAAACGAAGCAAGGATGCAATTAAGTGGCGATGGAAAAAGGTTCTCAAAAGACTCGACGCTCTCGACGACCTCCGACTGATCTGTGGATCCTGCGACGAGCGCGAGGAGGCGGAGACGCAGCTGAACACCGAGGCAAGCCTGCAGCCGTGGGTCGAGGACGCTCTCGTGAAGCTGCACGCGCGAAAAAACGTGTCGATGAACTCAAACTACACTCCGTGGACGATCGAGGAGGACCGCCTCCTGTTGCACTCGTACCAGAGCGGCGCGAAGATCACCGACATTCGCGTGAGTAGCCGATCCGCCGAAGCAATCAAGCTCCAGCTACGCCGACTTCAGAACGTCACGCCAATGGTACGCGACGCGCACCACAAAAGCCGCTGCGACCCGGAGGCGCCGTTTCAGTACCTGCAGCACGACATCTGGACGCCGATCGACTCGACCCTCGCTCTACCGCCGTGCGCGCAGATCGACTGGATTCGCGGCGTTGCAAAGGTGCCTCCCTTACCCTGTTCGCCTGCACGCGCGCGTGATCATTCGGCTATCTCCAACGACTAGTGAATCCATACCCTCCGACACCCGCATCTCCTCCGTCATTCATCACCCAATGATAATCATATCGGACCCCACCGTCCCCGAGATTTCTTCAACTTACGACACTGACCTCGCGACCGACGGCAGCGCCGAGCTAGACCCAGACGGCCTCCAAACACCCTCCTCCGCTACTGACACTATCTCTCTCCTCGCCATCCCGCCCCACCTCACTCAAACGCTGCGCTGCGCTGACAGGCCTGAGCCTACACGCCTACAAACCACGCGCACACGTATCGCAGTCCCGTTATCAGCACTAAATCACTGTCGTTATCGTAGGAACGTAGCGGCAACCCACACCTCCACTTCCGCCGATCTCTCTCGCGTACTTCCTCCATGCCTTCACCATCGCTCATCCCGACACTTCTCTCCACCGGCCACCCTCCCCATCGCCATCGCCCTTGCCGCCGCCCTCTCCGCCCCTTCCAACACCGACGTCACGATCTCCGCCATCCCAGAGACTCCTCTTGCGAGCCCGCCACCATCGTCACCGCTGCCCTCGCCACTGACGCCCTCGCCATTACCGTCGCACACCCACCTTCTTCGCCGCCGCCGTCATCGTCATCTCACTCTCCGCCGCCCCTCTCAACACCGCCTATACCGCCTCCACCATCGCCGCTGCTGACCACGCCGCCGCCGTCTTCATCACCGCCGTCGCCGCTCCTCCCCCCCCCCCC